TATGGTAAAGGTAAAGGTAAAGGTAAACTGTATTTAGCCAGGGCGGCCCATTCAGCAACGAGGCTGATATCCAGAGGGGCCCTGGACTATGAATGTAATAATTAAAAATACAAGACATCGTGATAATTTAAAAATTCAAGATAAATTTATAAAGTGCAAGATATGAATTTAAAAATACAAGTAATAATTAAAAGTATAGAGTATAAACTAGCATGCAATAATTTATAAAAATCTACTGTCTATAAATTTAAAAATTGTAGGCGTCAATTGAAACTTTGAAAGAAGAAAGTCACTCGGCGTTTTGAATGCTACGGAGTAAGAGGTTAAAAAAAGCTGAGCCCGAATATGTAAAAGTTCGTTTTGCAAGGCTAAGTTTGGGTTTGGGCAGGTGCAAATCTGTTCTTCTGCGAGTATTGTAGCTACGCACTGTATTATTTCTTGTGAAATAGTCACTCAAATATTTAGGTACTAGATTATTTAGACATTTATATACTAAAGTACATTTATGTCTTTTTCGCTTTGTTTCTAGCTCAACTCACCCTAAAACATTAAAAGTGTCTCAGTTGGAAGAGTCACGCCTTAAAACCATGCGGGCAGCGCGATTTTGTAACCGTTGTAAAATTTTGCTGGAGGTGGCTAACAATTCACCCCACAAGGTGTCCGTATAACACAGGATTGGATCTATAAGTGTATGGTGGACACACTTCGCTGCTTTAAGAGTAAGGCAAGATCTTATTCGTGCTAAAATTTCCACTCGCTTTAGTTCTGATCTTCTGCTGCTTCCGTCCTCTGCTTAAAAAATAATAATTCCGTCCAAAATATTCGCTCGTATAAACTAACTAGAATGGATGTTGTAACAGCTCTGACTTCCAATTGGATTCAGGCTTGTTATTTGTTTGTATTGACATGAACCGTAACCAATAACACTGGAGTTCTCGATTTGTCCACATTAGTTGATTTGGAACAAGCTAAAGGTCAAGCTAAACTTTGGCTCATTGCACAGAACGCAGCAGAAACTGTCAAGGTGAGCTTGTTTGAAAGTCAAATGTTGTATTTTAAAAGAACAGGAACTGTTGACGTCAATGCTATAAATTAAAACCTCAAAAGGGCGTGGCTGGTTGCCGTAACAACCATTTTACGTAAAACTTTTAAAATTTATTTTCTCTTCATAAATGCAATCGCGCATTGTTTATCATTCTTCGCCATATTTAAACAAACGTTTTGGTCCCTTTTCGCCTATTGGGCCACCTTAATTTATCTTGAAACAGAAACTGCTTTAAAACTTTAAGTGCCACCGTTGTAGTCATCTTTGGGTTTAAGATCTTTTAAGTATGATATTTCATTGCAGGAAAAAACGTCAGTCTTCCACTTGCCGATAAGTGTTACGTTTCTCCAATGTCTCGATTGTAGCTGGGTAGTGACAGCTGTTCGTTTAGCTGTTTTTCAGTTAAAACAAAGGAAATTTGGAAAATTTTCCAAGGAGTGTTAAAAGTTGGTGATATAAACGAGGATGAAACAGTTAAAATCGGTCCCGGATCCTAAATTAACTATTTTAAATAGACCGGCAGAACAAGAAAACTCAACACACGCGAGATGGTAAGCTCGGCCTCCGTGATAGTGCAAAACGTATGGTTTAAAAATCATTGCGGAGTATTCTTTGGGAGAGGGAAGGCATCCTTCTGGGCGAGTGAAAATTACAGCGGGCGAATGCATTTTGAGAGTCACTCGACCTAATGGCGAGCGCTGTCAAACTTTAGTTTCAAACACCGTATATACGCTCAATGTTTCTGATCTTTCGCTGCTTCCGCCTTTTGCCTACTTATCCCTTTTTTTAAGATGATTATTCCGTTCAAAATATTCGCAGGTATAAACTATCCAGAATGGATGGTGCAACAGCATTTACTTGCTGAAACTTTTAATCAGATTCAGGCTTGTTTATATTCATGGCATAATTTCAATAAAACTTGACAGCAACCTCGTCCACTAACTGGAGCTTTCCATTTGTGCGATATAACTTGCTTTAGAGCAAGACGGGGGCGCCACGTCAAACGGTAAAAGACAATCCAAACTAATCGAGCAAATATTGCAGGCCTATCCGTTGTGATATGCTATCAATAACCTACTAGAATGACAGATTAATGTAATTTCAAAGTTGCACTGATAATGTTATGCAGAAGATATGACGTTTTAAGTTCCGCTGTCTCGTGAAAAGACAAAAGTTAGATCAACGTTAAGACTTGGCGCCATTCAGAAAAAAAACATTTTTACTTCCTTACATTGTTTTGCAGTTGAAGGACTGAACAAACTCCTGAACTGAGACAACCAATTCAAGGTGAGAAAGGATAGAAAAATACTATAAAAGACAATCCAAACTAATCGAGCAAATATTGCAGGCCTATCCGTTGTGATATGCTATCAATAACCTACTAGAATGACAGATCGATGTAATTTCAAAGTTGCACTGATAATGTTATTCAGAAGATATGATATGTTTATCATTCTGGACAAACACACAGACGGACAGACGGATGGACGAACTGACGGACGGACGGACGAACGGACGCATAAACGAATGTACCAACGAAAAAACTTTTTGTTTTTGCAAGTTTATGCACCGAGCCTGCTGAACTGACTATATTGACGGGCACGCTCGATAACGTCTCAGAAAAATATGCCCGGTCAATAAGAAGGATATTCTCTGATAAAATGTCCAAGAAACGACCAAAAGAACGAACAAACAAACGATCAAATGGACGAACGAAAAAACGGATGCACCAACGGACAAACCATCGAATTCAAAACTTAACTACCCGTAAATGAGAGCAATTATACTCCATAAAAATTATAACCAATTTAGTGACAAATTTGCGTGCAACTCGGTAATAATGAAAATGTTTGCTTTTTAGCAGGAATGGTGTCACAAGTAGAAAACATCATATTTACCGTTATGTACATCATAACGATGCTGGTATCATTGGTCGGGAACATTCTTCTACTCTACATCGTGTGGAAGAAACCTGACGTAAGATCAATGACCAGCTTCATGTTCGTCAACATGGCCGTTGCGGATTTACTGGTCACCTTGGTTGTGATTCCTTACACAGTGTCCGATTCCTACACTCACGGTGTGTGGCCGATGACTGGTCTTATTGGACAAATCACGTGTAAAGCAGTAATATACGCCGCTTTCTTCACAATAACCACGTCCATTCTTTGCCTGACATTTATGGCGGTTGACAGATTTTATGCAGTGGTTTATCCATTCCGACGCCTTCTTTGGTTCCGAAAACCCATAGTCCTCACACCAGTCGTCTGGCTCTTGTCAATGGCGTTGATGTCTATCGTTCCGGTTTTTATAGTTTTGCAATGGTATCCTGAAAACTCGGAATATATGTGCATAGCCAAGTTTTCCATTTTGGGAGAAACATCGAAAGTCATTCGCGGAGTTTTCATTTACTTTTTCGTCATCAACTATTTGCTGCCTGTAAGTATCATTTCCGTCCTCTACACCATTACTGCTCGTAAGTTGTGGTTCCATGAGGCACCAGGAGAAGGCTTGAACCAAAATCGGCAACGACAGCAGCAGACCAAGAGAAAGGTTGTCCGAATGCTCATCATCGTTTTCACAGCGTTTGCTCTCTGTTGGCTTCCCGGGCAGGTGTCTCAGCTGTACTTAGCAGTAACAGCCAAACATTTACCACTTGTCCAGACAGTCTGCTATTGGTTTGGCTACAACAACAGCGCCATTAACCCATGGTTGTGCATTAGCTTGAACAGGAAGATGTACAATGCATTTTCTCGAATGACCGGCAATAAATTACAATTGGCAAAAGGTAGCTTGAAAAAGGACGAAGATGAGATGACACCCAGACTGACAAACGAGTCGCAAGAGTCACGGTTGTAAAATAAAAAGGCCTGCGGAAGAAGTCTCACGGTTATTCAGTTGTTTAATGAAATCCTCTCATAATGCCCCATTCACACCAACTAAACTAGTTCAACTAAATCAGGTTTGGTTTTCTCCAATTTGTCAATTTCGCTTTGTAGTCATTTTGAGAAGAGAAATTTCAAAACCATCTTACTCAGATATTTTAATCAAACAGGTTTTTGCCTTGTTTAGTTGTGGGGTTTGCACAGCATAAGCAACTAGTTTTTAAAAAGTTAAACCACTTTTAAACATGTTTAACATGTTGGCGAGAACGGGATATAATTAGTGAGCGTTATCCTGAAAGGAACTGCTTAAACATCATCTGAGGAATCAGTTTCAAAATCGATTGAAAACTCATTCTAATTGGCAATTTTACTAGTAATTTGCTGTAGTGTAATTGCTCACTTAAAGGCTGAACTTAACACCTCTTAACGACCATTGACACCAGTTAGTTACTGGATACTCTATTATGCTTATTAAACTGATTAACATTGACGCCTTTATAAACAGCTTTTCACTTGTCAAAGTGTCCAGCTGTAGGGCTCTTGTTTACAGTCTGTATATATTTTCGTGGCTTGTTGGCTATGACATTCTGTAGGTAAAATGGTTGTGGATGATTTTTGGTAAACAGTGGAACATTTTCATTCCTATAATCTACCTGTTGTTTCATGCTAGCAAGGTATTCTGTGCCAGTTGCCAATTGTTGGATGTTATAAACAAAAGTGAACATAAACAAGACTTTGGCCCATTTGTTGAAAAAACTGCGCCCCCTTGCAAATCTTCAGGTTACAACATTTGTTTTCTTATTTCAGTGTCCCCAATTATTGCAGTAGTGTTAAACACTTCGACACTTAAAAAATGTGATTTATTTATTTTTATTTATTTAGTTGACATATCATATCAGCTTTGTAGTTACCAAGACAGCAGGAAAAATCTGTCATGTTAAGAGGTTACTAGTTACATTACTTACATTTTAATAAAGAATGTTGTCATGCGTGTATACATTTGCGCCATTTCTCTTAAACAGGAGCAACTGCATCTATCGCCTTTGCTTCTGTGTGTTGTTTCCAGCAACGCATCCAGCAATAGAGGGGTGGGGGCTGGGGGGGGGGTGTTTCTAAGGCACTCTACAACAAGGGAAGGTGTCGCTTATGCCACGTAGCGTTGCGAAATATTAGTATGTGCGTCATCAGTTCATGTTGAACCGTGGTAAACAAAACCAGAAGTTAAGACGAGTGCATTAGAAAGGACGGCTCTCTTTAAATTGAGATTGAAAACTCGAGAAGTGCAGATATTGATACCGTAGACTAACATAACAAAACGTCATGAAGTAGAAACATTTACCATATCTGACTGGCTTTCCTATCGACCACAGGAAACAAGATCTAGACATGAAGGGCCAACCTCATTTTTAAGAACTGTTTTTAATACTTTCCGTCTTTTATTTTGTAAAAACAAACGTACAGCTCAATCACACCAACTTTACGATATTTGCTCCCCAAAGTAAAGACCCCTCGAAAGTAGCGAGCCCCAAAGGCTAATACTTCCGAGAATAACAAGGGTCGTTTCTTTAGGAATTTTATTTCGTTCCATTTTTACTACAAGATTTGTACTTATAGCGATAATTTATGCCAACGTCACACCCATTCAAACCAATCAAGTCGATAAGCCGAGGCAGGTTGAACCTTAACAGAAGAACGCCGAAAGAGAAGTTAATGAATTATTTACTTGCATCAATAATTTTAGCTGGGTCATGAGCATTATTGATATTTTCCATGAGAAGGTTTCGCTGAATCATGATTCCATTGCTATGTATAAAAGAACCCATTTTCAAAACGCGATTCATTTTGGTGAAGGAACACTGCCAACCTTAGCTGTCGTCTGAGAGCATTCGGAAAGTTATTTAAAATTCCGTTACTGGTCAAGTGAGAAAAAGTATGTATCTCATATGTTTATATTATATTGACTGCCTTTCCGGTTAAATATTGAGCGGGCTCTTTTTTAAAATGTCTTCCGAGAGGTTTGATTGTCACAGAATCTGTTTACTCTCTGAAGCATTCCATCTGGGAGGTTTGTAATAAAAAATATTGTTTACTTATTATATCTATCAGCTAGTACACGCTGTGATTGGTCAATTTAGTGGGCCATATTCTACTATACGGCCCGTTAAAATTTAAAGCTGTTTTTGTTGCCAAAATGTTTCGTGATTCATCGCGATCGTCAAGTTTTCCTAAGTTTCTTAGCAAGTAAAAGTTTAAAACTTCTGAAATTGTGTGTAAAAACCTGCTTAAGACTTAAGACTCACTTAACAACGATTTCAAATTGACTCGTGTGCTTTCGAGGTGCGTCAGAAATTTGAAGCCGTTCGGCGTGAATAGAAAGCTTTCTCGAACCCGTCAGACACACAGTAGAGATATAATAAATATCTTAATAACCTCGTTTTCTCGGTACGTACTGTAAGCTACGGTTCCTCGTTTCTCCCCTTCGATTTATGGCCAGCTTGGGCCATAAATCGATGGGGAAAAAACTCGATCCGTAACTTAGGGTCTGTTTACAAGATGAGAGGGCTACCCTAGCAAGCGGGTTACCCTAGCACTCACACATTTCCTCTTTTTTTTTCTTCGTCGTGTTTACAAGGCAGCTACCGGGTAGGCGGGTTACCCTATCTGCATGTTAGGGTTATCCTGGCAGGCGGGTTAACTTTTTCTCTTGTAAACACTCCAGGTAGGGTTAAACCGCCTACCCGGGTTAACATTCTATTTGTTTCCAGACCCTTTAAGTGTAATCGCGCATTAAGTGCCGGGTTGTAGGGTTACCCTACCTGTGAAATTTTGCTTCTGAACCCGGGCTATCTTTTGCCCTCCAGCTAGGGTTAACCCTCTTGCTTGGGTAACCCTTCCTACTTGTAAACAGGCCCTTACAGTACGGCTCTCGAACTCGGTTAGTAAGAGGCATGGATTGTTTACTGTGTCAAATGCCGCGAACCTATTGCGGTATAAATTAAAGACGACGCAAATGGCTGGTTACAGAACTATAAACTAAACTATCCTCCAACGTCCCGTCACCAGTCGATGAATATGGTTTGAAAGTATTCCACTCATGTGAGAATATATCTAAGAGCGATAAGAACGAGAGGAAATTAAATACAACACCTCCTTCTGTTATTGTAGCTGCATTATGGACAGTATAAAGAGTTAGTCCCAGTATTTTTCGTTCATTCATTAAGGAACTTTAGACTGGACTGCAATCGCCAACAACCAAGCCATAAAGATATACATTGCCTTTGTGGTGATGTGCCTTGTTTCTTTGCAGTCCCAACACCGAATGAGTTTGTATTTAGAATTAAAATAACTTTTTCAAATTTTACGCGCAGCTGCGAGCGCTTAAAACCTTGTCCGAAAAACGCTAAGCACCAAAAGCAATAAAAAAAAAAATTAAAACGTTTGGAAATTTGTAATCTAGCTTAAAAACTAATAAGATGACACGCAGTTTATGACTCATATATTATTCTGTTTCTATACGTTTTGCCACAGATAAAGTAACTAATTCGTAAACTAAAAGGAACTCTCCTCGTTACCCTGTGGTGAGCAAAGTCACGTCATTTGTACTGGACTGTGAAATTTTAAAAAAGAGTGGAAAGGCGGGCGCTTGACTCATATGTTCTGATCAGTCACCAATTTGGCGCGCAAAGTCAGTGCATCAGTCAAGTCTTGTTCTCACATCTCTTCTGCATGTTGAAACATGAAAAACGCCTGGTCTGATATTTGTTAAGTACTTGAACTTTAATAAGCACAACAGGTACAACGCTACGTCGAGCACATGGGGGACCTGATCCAAGAGCGCGTTGATCTGACGTAACAGCACGTAAACGAGGCTACTGACGTACCCAGACTCTTATCGGCGGGAGTACAAAATACACCACAATATTGAATAGTGTCAAGACAACAAACGAGTTCTTCATCGACAAAACATTAACAATTACACTTGCGATTAGCTACAAATTTTCCGTTCTTTACTACATACGAGTTTTGATTTTTAACAAGAGCACAGGAGTCGTGTTATCGTGTTTTCCCCTTTTATGTCTTCGACATTTTAGGTTGCAACAGCGATTCTTCTGGAATGGGGGAAACAAATCACTTTCATTTCGACATCATAAACGATTTTGCCTATATATCTAAAACAATAGCAGCAATCTTTTATTTACACACGATTTAGTTTAAAGCAATAGGTCTTCTTGTGGGGTCGTGTTTAAACTAAAAGCTAAGAAAGCTATTTTGAGAACTCGAGTTTTACATGTCCAGACGAAACTTCTCAAACTCATTGATAATTCATCAATTTAAAACAAAGGAAATCACAACCGTGAAGGAGGTTTGGATACTCCGTCTTAATTAGCATAGATTTTGACGATTATACTTCTCCGCTTACTCCTTAGTTCTTCTTTAAATTGAGAAGACATATCAAACACTCGAAACAGTGTTTCATCGGACATCGAAACACCTCTGATTTCGTCAAAAATACTCTGCTGCGCGTCGTATTTTCAACTCTCTTCTCAGCGTTTCGATATCCCAAAGAAACACTGTCTCTCGTGTTTGACATATTACATCAAATTTTAATTTGATGATGCGTCTGATCACGCACAACGAATAATTAATATTTTCTCTAAATCGCATGCCTTAAATTTTTTAAAGTAAACATGGGCAGATATAATGTAATCAGTTCAACAACTGTGGAGCAAACTGTTACAAATTTTGTAGGCAACATTAGTATTTTTTTCCTCTTTCGATTTTTTTCTTGTCGTGAACGTTTTTATCCAAAAAATGTAAACCACTCTTTCAGCAGAAAGGTCTTTCTTGTAACAAGCTCTTCAATCGAGAATTTTCATTCCGTTTCCAGAGCGCTTTCTTTTAAAAATGGTCATTTTTAAATTTACGATAGTTCAGCTGAGCACATTCCCCAAATGACAAAACTGGCAAAGATCT